CACACACACACGCGCACACACACACACACATGCACGTGCGCACACACACACACTAACACGCACATGCCCACGCCCACGCCCACGCGCACGCGCAGGCGCAAGCGCACGCGCACGCGCACGCGCACGCGCACGCGCGCGCGCGCGAACGCGCACACACATGCACACGCACACGCGCACGCACACGCACATGTGCACGCGCGCGAACTCCCGGACGTGCATGCGCAAGCACATGCACACGTAAACGCATACACACACACGCGTAGTCATACGCAGGCAGGCTGTCACTCGCACCGACGCCTGCGCCCGCGTCGGTGCACGACGTGCGCACCTGCGCCTGCGCACGCGCACACGTACACGCACACGCAGAAGCACACCTACACGCACACGCGCGCGCGTGCACGCACACGAGCACATGCACACGCGCACTCACGCGGCCACGCGGCCACGCGCGCACTCGCACGCGCACACACGCGCACGCCCCCATGGCACACGCACCCTTGGCACACGCACACACACACAATCCCACGCACGTAGCAAGCACACCCACACGCAGACCCACACCCACGCCCACGCACACGCGCGCACACACACAAAACACACAACACACACACACAAAACAGACAACACACACAAAGCGAACAAAACACACTGAACACGCAAAGCACGCAAAATGCACCAACACGCCAACACGGAACGCACAAACACACAGACACACAAACGCACAAACGCACGCAAAACTATGTGCACATATACGTGGCTGGGTTTTGATTACTTTTGCTTCAATCTTTAAAGCAAGCATGACTACTAGGATCAACCAAGTGGAAAAACGAAAGAAAGAAAGCAAGATTAAATAAATACAAAAGAAAGCAAGAAAGAAAGTAAAAGAAAGTACAATAGACACACACAGAAGGAATCTTTGAGACAAGCATATGACTACTAAGGATCAACCAGGTTTTGTGGAAACAGAAATGCACAAACACACACAAACACACACACACAAACAAAACACACAACCCACGCACAAACACAAAGCACACCACACACACACACACACCAACCCGCAAACACACACACACACACACCAACCCGCAAACACACGCACAAACATACCCGCGCTTATAGAAGGCTATATGTTTTTGGCTCATCAGCAGATAATACCCGGGAACAGCTGTCGCACAAAACAATGGAGCTTTTCTTTTGCCAAACAACACGACAACACCCTGCCAATTTTCACCTATTTGCGTCAGCTTTTGTCTATCTTTCGTACTCAAAGTTTCAAGACGAAGCTGCAGCTTAACCTGCCCAAAATGGGCAAACGAACTTGCTCGGTGAAACAGTTGAGCCTGAGGCTTGTGATACATAATTTTACAACATTCCATGTGCACTTGCAAGGACAAACACACTTGAAATTCATGCTTCACACAAGTGATGTGACACCTGTCATGTTTGCTTTGCTCGGGCATTCTCTCGACACGGCTTCACGTTTTGTGACGCCAAGGAAGGAGGGAGCAACCAAGTCCTGGTGTGCTTTCCAGACAGGTGGGCAGACTCACGTATGGCTGCACCTTCGTGCCAACTTGTCGAAGAGTTCAGCGCATCGCAAGGTGGCATCAACTTCCTCTGGGAGAATTTGTATCCTCAGCATCCTCCTGGCCCGTCTCCCTACTATGATGATCCGCGATACTTCCCAGAAGGCGGGATCTAGTGGCGCGGGCAGCAAAGGATGGGTCTGTTTTTGCCAGGTGTGCCTGTGGCCTTCTACTTCGGACATGCAGAGAAGGTTGGAGACAGAGAGCGAGAGAGTCAGCCTGCCCTGCCTGTCCTCATGACGCTGGCTGCAGGATCCAAAGCACATTGACAAAGCGCTGCAGTACTTGGCGGAGCCATCAAGGGCAAGCATGTCGTCACCAAAGCCATTTTTTCACAACATGTGCCTTGCCTGATATTCAAGTCAGCTTTACACGTGAAGCCAGACTTTTCTGCACACGCTCCTATGAGCCTTTGCTGGGTGTTTAGTCAGCTCAGGACCTTCTATGCATCTTTCAAAGATCTCGCGAAGGATCGGGACACTTGCCATCGTTCCTGTCAGTCAGCATTTAATACAGTACATGTCTGATGCCAGGCGAATCCAAACTTGAAATGTACGCTCTGAAGATCCACGAAGCGGGTGTCAAGCCGAGACAGCTGATGCGACTGCCCCATATGCAAAATTGAGGAAGGTGCGGCTCGCGCCTCCAGTGCGACAAACTTGCACGCGCCAGTTCAGCATATCAGTGAGACGGCAGAGGCTTCTGGCAAACCGTCGGCCGGGAAGCATCGGACTCAAGTGCATGGGGAGCATGCTAGCCAGAGAGCACTTTGCCCCAGCACATGAGCAGACAAATGCAGACACGCAGGTTACAGGAGTTGTACCCTAGCCCGCATGAGCCTTGCTTATCACGCAACAACCTGCCGCCGCATTGGATGACCTCGCTGCTTCACATTTTGTGCGATGCAGAGGCCTGGAGAGAGTTCCAGTTGGGCAAATACTGATGGTCATGTGTGTGTGTGTGTGGGTATGTGTTTGTGAAATACTACAGTGTCAGAATGGCAAGCTACATTATCTTATTTTGGGGGAGGCCGCATGTTTCAGGTGCAACGGGAATGGACATTACCCATGCTTTGTTAGGAGCCCGGAGCCTGGAACGGAGACAGGCTCCATCGTCAAGCAGCTTGTACCATGCGAGCAGTTCTCCCCAAAGATGTTGGTTGGTATGCTATGTAAGCAGGGTGCTCCAAGAGTTTTGACTTAAGGCAGATTGGCTCCAGGCCTGAGCTTCCGGCAATGTCTCAGCGTCCCTTAATCTCTACGAGGTGGCGTTCCGCAAGCGGGAATCGAAGGATCTGGAAAATTGTTTGCTCAGTATGCCTTGTGCTGCTTCTCCATTTTCTCTACTGGTTGGAGATCGGATTCTTTACACCACTCGGGATCATGGGCATCGTCTTCATGGTCAAGGCGTTAATTGAGACATGGGGACAAGATACCCCGACGTTTTTATGCCCTGGGACCTTCAAAGTGTTCTTCTTGAGTTATGTGTTGGGACTTCCTGGTCTTTTTTGGCAGTACGCGAACTGTACCAAAGCCGACATTTCATTTCCGGCTTTGTGGTGCGGTGATGGTGTGGACACTAGTGAATGTGAGCGTGCGAACCGACAGTGGGTGGGGCTGGCATTGAACTTCTTTGGCTCAATTTATTCTCTTTCCTACGAGATGCACCGCTTTTGGTGGAAGGCGAAGCCGGAGAACCAAGGTAAGCTGCACACGACCGGACTCGCTGCCTTGTGCATCCATCCAAACTATTTTGGGGATCTCTTCACGTACACGGGCTGGGGTCTCGTGTCTGGGACTTGGTGCACACAAAGCTTGCCACTTGTCAGCTTGGGTGCCCTGGTCCTCCTTGTCGTGCCCAACTCTGATGCATACTTGGCGGAGCGCTACGCGACCGAATTCCCAGCCTATGCGGAGAAAACAGCTACCCTGATCCCTTTTGTCCACAATCAGCGTGTGCTTCGTATTCTTGCATGGGGCGGGATAGCCGCAAGTATTTACATTTTGATATTCTCTTGTCCGGGTGCGTGCAAGATGTAGAAAGCAGGTGCTACAGGCAGCAGGTGGTGGTTCAGAGTGCAGGGGCTGCTCCTGGCCCCGATCCTGACGGACGTCTCCCTGCCTCGAGGGTCTTGTTGGAGTGTGTGATGCGGCGGTTCCTTGATCTGACTCGAGAAGAAGCACGTTACGGATCTGCATCTGACTTTTCGCATCATTACCGATGTGTATCTGACATCGCTCCGTCCCCTCCTATAGTGAGGTTGAGGCTGCACCCTGTCGAGCAAAACACATGTTAAGGTACCCCTACGGCCACAAGGAGTCTTGCATGCGCTCATGTCACAAGGTGCTGATGTCACGCTTTGCGCAACGTGGATGCCTCTTACGGCCTTCATTTTTAGTCAGGCGCCTGCAGAAGTACAACTGCACTGGTCGCCAAAGAGCCAGGAGTTAGGCACGTTCGGGGCAGAACGAATCGCGATTCGAGTCTCAAGTCCTTTTTTTTGCAGGACGCTTCAAACAGGCGGCATCGATGAGAATGGCTGGTACTCCAAGAATGGGGCGCTTGTCCAGCGATCACAGGAGCACATGCTAAGGATTGTTGCCAGCTCAATTGCACGGCACGCAGGAGACACCTGAGCATTTGCCCTTCGGCCAGGCCATAACTGACAGTGGCTATGCATGTTATTGCATGACAACTGACAGATAGCTTATGCAGGTTTCTGCTACTCAACAAGGTTTCATGGACCACGTGATGGCCCTAGAAAGCGAACATATCGAGATTTGTCTCATCCATGGCTTTGTGCTTTTTCCCACAGACTACAGCCCAAATAGCGCAACTGAGTTGCGAGCGGGTATGAGGTGCAAGCTGGCCGCGTGGATCGCGTTGAGGACGGGGCAGAAGGCCAACGATGCCATCGCTTTCAAGGCAAACTTGAACCGGTGCTGAAATTGATAGGACCTGCTGGAGTTTCATCGAGACAAGATTGTCCCAGACTCAGGCAGCTGGTGCAGGCTGAGCGATCCAGCCCGGAATTCGCACTCGTGACTCGCTCGCGTTCCGCTGTTCCCCAAGAGTTACACAGTGCTCAGGAGATTGATTTCCAAGATGCCTTGGGGCAGACCCCCTTGATGCCTGGAGCTTTGGCTCGAGAAAGCACAGAGCATGCCTTGAGCATAGGCTTGCCACTTTGGCTGGAAGCATCGACATGGTGGAGATATTGCTTGAGGCCTGAATTGACTTTCCCGGCTGGCGAATGCTTTGAGAGCAAGTCCCCTCTTGCAGGCCCGGGCTGATCCTCATATACGAGAGCGGACAGAGAGTTGTGCTCAGACCTTCAGTGCATAACATGGGCAGGGGTATGTGAGCCACCATCAAAGTCCGGCAAAAGTGAAGTTCAATCGGGGGCAGTCCCAACCACAAAGCTGCCGCTTTGGATCTTTACCTGGTTTTGGGCAGAGCCCTTCAAAAGCATTGACTCGCGTGGGGCTGTTGAGGATGGCCTATACGCCGCTGGAGGCCGCGCAGGTGATCATGGAGGTCCAGCAACGCTTAACACTTGCCCCAACGCCAGCGGGCCAGACTCATCCGGATGGATGTGCGTGTGTGTAATATATATATATATATATGTATTGCATGTATATCTACAGTACATACATATGTATATATATATATATATATATAATATTGGAACTTTTCAGGCTTGTGTCAAGGGGACCCAAAAGATCACCCTTTTTGCTCTTTCTATCTTGACACACACCCATCCGGCAGGACGAGGATCCTGACTTCGAGGAGTTGGCCGGGGCCCTGATGGGAGCAAGGGAATCGAAGAACTTTGGAGAGAGGTCTGTTGGGAACACCTCACAAATGAGGACTGACCAAGCCGCCAGGTGCAACTTCTCAGCCGGGCGTCGGGGCATGAAAGCTTGCCGCTGGGAGCACAAGTGGCCTTGAGGTCTTTGGCATTCAATATCGCTCGGAACTGGGCCATGCTACCGCCTCCCTCCACCTTGAGGTCAAAGCGAAGCGACCACGGATACGAGTTCCGCCGCTAACGCTCAAAGACTCAAAGGCAGAAGGAGGCCGCCTTGGATTGAGATAGGTGTCATGTGGTTGATTTGCGCTTGGTCATTCTGGGCACATGCACCGCCATGGCACATGGGTGCACTATCGCCAGGGGGGACTGGTCATGAGCTTGCGGAGCACCTGAGCTGAGCACCAGCTGAGCCATGCGTCGGCTCGCAGGAAGGCCGGGGCGACCTCGAGATGACAGGGCACTGCCCGTGACACCGCGCGCCCTGCGTATTGGCTTAGCACCAAGAGAGTTCGACGTATGGCGTATGCTGCCACTTCTCACCTTAGAGTTGGGCAAGGCGTGTCCCATGCTGGGAGGCACGCTGATTGTGTTGGACAGCTCTGTGTTCGCAATGCTAGCTCGAGGCTCAAGCCCAGAAGGATGCAAAAGTGCAAATGCCCAATCATCAGATATCCAACAAGGTCCATTGCAAGTTGCAGTTGTCTTCCTGTCCTTGTTTGAAGAGCCCTATTCTTGAATGTGCTGTGAATCTTGCTGATTACATGCTAGCAATGCACATCGTTAGAATTGTTCCGGCGTTACAGCAACTTTGTTTGCTGCCAATAGGCCGGATTCCAAGGTCCGCCTGGGGCTTGGAATGCATATCCCACCAGGACGATGCTCGACGATTGCGAGGCCACTTGGAGGTGCAGCCGCAGCTTGATCACGAAGAGCGGCACCGCAGAGGGGTGCAACCAGAACAGTGTGCAGGAGATGCTTCCTCCCCTTCCATTGCTGCAATCTCAGCAAATTGCTTTGATCGCCTTCAGATTCTTTGATCTCTTGTCTTCAATTGCATTGCAATTTGCTAAATGCTGTTTGTGTCAGGGGTGGTATCCGAGAAGCTGCCTCGGCATCCTCGTGGCACAGTGCCCGCCCAACAACGGGCAGGACAGTTGGCTGGGACAAGAGAAGGGCAAACTCAATGGATTTGCCGAGGAGCTTCAGTGATCGTGGGCAGTCCGATCCCGGTGTGTTAATGGAGCATGCAGGCTTGGAAGGTTCTGAAACTGTTTGATGCCTACCCTAGGCTCGGTCGAGAATCCTGGTCAAAAGAAGACACCGAGATAGATTTCGGTTTCAAGTCGAGCTGAGTTGCTTGCTTCGCAACTTTGGAAGCCACCCGTCAATAGACTCCCGAGCCAATGGCCGATGGCACTGGGCAGCTGCAACCTGTTCAGGTCGTCTGGCAGCCATCCGCGAAGCGGAGAAGGATGAGCAGGCGGCCAGGCAGAAGGCCTTGGCGAAGCAGGCCGCCTTGCCGGGCCTTTGCCGGGCCTTTGCCGGGCCTTTCGGAGCCCTCCACGACTCGGTTTGCAGGCAGCGGAGCTCTCCCAGGCTGCGGCACTAGGCTGGAGACAGGCTGTCAGTTGTGTCCACGAATCTGGTCCTGAGGCGCAGCTGGACGCTGGCGTTCACCGCGGGTGGAGGCACAAAGATGGAAACCTTGTCAAGCTGTGCAGAATAAATTTGCCACGGAAGGTTCCAGGTGCCAAGGACGCCTTGTCCAACATCGCCGACCTTCGAAAGGCCATGCAGGAGCTTTGTACCATTTTATCCTTCAAGCACGTGAGACATGGAACAGACACTGCGATAGGACTTGCGGCGAGAATGCCTCGATGCGCGTGCGCTGAGCCCAATGCTTGTGCCGAGCCAGCCGGCGGACGTGTACAAAGGCCGGGAGCTTGCGAATTGATAGCTTGAAAACAAGATGCATTGAATTGACATGAATTGACTCAAAGAGACGACACAAATGCACTATGGTCTTTGAGCTATGAAGCACTTTGAGAGGAACCATTCCAGCTGAAGAGCACAGTGTTGACAACCCGCCCCCCTCCCAAAGCCTACTTCCCTCTCTTTTTGAATTGGCTCCACTCGCTTGAATGTGTCCTGCAGGTGCTGGGAAGAGCCCAGGCAAACAAAGTACCGACGGCTGGAGGCCTGCAGTTTGTTAGCATCCCACGGCTCCGTGGCTGTGCGGGCTTATGCTCAAAAGAAGGTGTGCTGAGTCGCTGGCAGGCCAGGTGCAGGCAAAGGCCAAAGCAACGGCAAGGGGGACTCGCGCAGCTTCCAACCTCAACGTGTTGTGTTTGGAAGGCGCCAGTTTAGCTTTGGGATGCAGGCCTACTCCCTGAGCCGTCAGGTACGCAGGCGTTCGGTCCACTCAAGGGACCAGTCACCAGGCCTGAGCAGAACCTAGCATGCGTGTAACTTGCAGCAAGGGGACGTCATGTAAACCAAACAACTCAACAGGCTGCTCAGATTTGCTAAGCGGGATAGCTGCAATCACACGAATGAGTAAGCCAGGGGAGCCATGTTCATACTGTAACCATGGAGAGTGTTTTTTTTTTCTATTTCGGAGCACCCAGAAGCGAATTTGACCGCAATCACTCTTGTCTCACATTGCGAGCAAGCAGTTTGCTTGCTGTTGCAAGGTGGCGGAGAGGGTCAGGCCGGTGACTTGGCTTCCTCGTGTGCATGATATGCAGCTTTCTAGTCTCAGGAAGCTGGGCACTTCCTATGAAGCGCAGCCAGCAAAGAGTTCTGGCATCTTGATTGCAAAGACGCACTTGCGTCTTGCGTTGTGGGAGGTGCATTTAGACCTTGTGGCGGAATGCTGCACAGATCCATGCAAGATTTGGGGACCGATCCATTAATTACTCGCCGGCGGTTCCTGCCTTGCGCGTTTGAAGTGTTTTGGCTTGTCTACGAGGCAATGCTGCTGATGCCGATTGGTGGCGCGGATGCACCCAAACACGTTGAGGTGACATTGATCCCCTGCAACATATTGGCTCCTTTTCTTTTCCCTTGAAACTCACTACGAGATGATCTCCTTGTCATTCCCTTTCATTCATGTGGAAGGTGACTATAGGTTGCCTTCCACAAAGTTGCCACTCGCCGGCGTTTTGTCTCCTGTCATAGCAGCCTCCTGAGGAATGACGATGACTGGTGGGATGAGGAAGGAGGTTGGGATGAAGGATGGGATGAATGGGGCTGGGATGATGGGTGGGAGGGAGGATGGTGACAGGAACAGCAGTATGTCTTTTGCAGCGACAAAGTAATAGGTGAATCTGTATGCTTCCATGGTGTCACTGTCCCGACACCCAAACCATCTATTCGCTTCTGTTGTGTCAGCACAAAGTGCTTCACATGGAAGCATGTACTTTCCTGTTTCCTGTGTGATAGTTTATCGATTGCCAAGTCACAAAGTCTTCGGGTCGTGGCGACAAACGTTTTGCCATGCATTGAGTTGCTGTGTAGTTGGCAGACGGCAAATCTGCGATGCGGTTATCGCAGTTGCAGCTCAAATGATGTAGCCTGGATTTATCTCAGATTGCCAGGTCGCAGGCAGGGAGTTGGAATTGGATGGACACGGGCGCTTCAATTTTGCGGATGAAACAACCTCAATAGGATGTGAGTTCCATTTTTTTTGTTCAAGGAGTTTGGCTGATGCTACTGCACGCCTTCATCAATGCAATGGTGTTTGTTTGTTGTTTGTTTGGTTGGTGGTTGGGTCGTTGTTTTTTCTTTTCCCCCTTCTTTGTCTTCTTCTTTTGTTATTCTTCTTTTTTTATCAGTTTTTTTTTTTTTCGCCTTCTGTTTATCAGTCAGTTGTTTGTCGTCTTTGTTTGTCTGTACTTGTTTGTCTTGATTTGCTGTGCATTGTTTGCTGCATTGTTTGCTGCATTGCTTGTTTGTTTGTTTGTTTGTTTGTTTGTTTGTTTGTTTGTTTGTTTGTTTGTTTGTTTGTGTTTGTTTATTTATTTGTCTATTTAATTGTTTATTTATTTATTTATTTATTTATTTGTTTATATTTTTTTTTTATGTATTTTATTTATTTATTTGTTTATTTATTTATTTATTATTACTCTATGTGTTTTTTATTTTTATTTTAATGTATTTATTTATCTATTTATTATTATTTTATGTATTTATTTATTTATTTATTTATTTTATTTCCCCAGATAGCTGAAGGCTATAGGGGTTCTAACTTCTATCAAAGAGGGGCAAGTGATTTGCAAGATTGATGGCAGGGTGCTTAGGGGCATGTAGCTTTGGGTGCTGTTGGAGGAGTGCGAGCGTCCGGGAGTGCTGTTAGAGGAGCTGGCGTGCAATCCTCCGCCTGTTTTTTGCTATCTTCTGTGGTCTACGCTGGTTTGATTATGTATATATTTGTTTGTTTGTGCATCCTGCTTGTAGCTTTTGCATATTTGCCTCAAGATTCGCCCTGAGGCATGCTTTCTTTATGCAGACCAGGAGGGCTGCTGTTGCGAAGGACTGCACAACGGATCCTTCAAATATGCCTCCCCTAGCTTTCAAGCCTTTTCTGATTTTCCATTCAGCCATCCGCGCAGGTATCTACCATCTAGAGCTGTTTCCACAGCTGCATCAAGCCTTCCTCAAGGCAAGGGTTTGTGCGTTCCGCAGATTGGCAAGACTGAGAGTGATCAGGCTACATGCCTCACTATGCGCTGGGCTTCTGCCTTAGTCAAGCGAATCGAAGTTCATGCTTGGACTTGTGATGGGAAGCAACTGAACTGCTCCAAGCTTCAGCGTATTGCGTTCTTCCGGCGCCATGGATTTGCCTGCAAATCGACTCGCATGGCAACGTGGAATGTTGCAAAGCCTGGTCCACTGACCAGGCAGACGCCCGCCTTGCTGTTTTCTTTGGAAGTCAGGCAGAGAGTATGGGGCGTGTCGATCTTGGAGTCACCCCAAAATCCTGGGAAGGATGTGACGAGTATTTGGTTGTATCCGCCACAGAGCAACACTTCCATCCCGGCGCTTCCGGAAGCTACTGCGAATATTCGGGGCGAGCTGTTGTTGGCCCTCCAGTGGACAGAGGCAGGCGCACAGGTGGACTTGCATTTGGTACGATCTTTGGCGCTTCCGGTATCCAGACTCTATGAGTTGAAACATCAGTCAGCAGATCCGGACGCGGAAGTTCCCGCGCTTTGGACTTTGCAAATCTGGGGACTCCCCCCAAGCGCCGCGAAAGCGTCTGCAGGCATTCCGCTTTGCAAAGTAGAGATTACAGAACCGGGTCCGATTCCTTTCACCCAACATTCGTTTGAGCTGGAAAAGTCTGTGCAAATCCAGTGGCCAGAGAATTGGGCACAGTTCTCGTCATTTGGTTCAGGGGAGGCCAAGGCCGAGACGCTATCGTTTCAGGCAGTCTGCACGGCCGATCCTTGGGGGAGCCTCGTGATGCGGTGCCGCCATGCCATGTTTGAGGGCGCGACTGTGGATGGAGCATCTGCACGCAGCCTGAAGCACTGGGCAGACCTCGAAAGCTGGTTCCTGTTTGGCCCTTTGTACGCTCGCTACGATGATGAGTTGCTGCCCATAGATGAGGTGACAGCCCTGCACAATGACTTTGCTTTGAGTACTGCTGACATCATGGCACTGAGAGCGGACGACAGCTACATGGTTTGCCATGCCAGTGTGGTCCGATTTGTGCTGCTCTCTTGGGGTTGGGACATTGAAAGCGGGGAAAGGGTGCTGGACATGGACGAAGACGGCGGCCAGGGTTGGGAGGCCAGTGGAAGCCATGCCTGGAGGTTGAGGCACCTTTGCCTGTCTTGCTGGCTGCTTGGACAGGATGACTTGCGGCAAGCGTGCAAAGACTTCGTGCTTTCTTTGGACGACCCTCCTTGGGTGGAGGACGGCTTCTCGGAGGCGGTCTACACGCTGCAGGATGGAGCCGAAGCTTTCTGGCAGTCCCGACCTTTGCCGAAGCTTTCGGGCCGGTGCCTCAGACATTCAGACGGGGGCGGCCGGACTCCCATTCTCGACACTCCTATTCGGACCGGTGGACTGGGATGGGTCAGATTTCTCGAATTGGGCAGTTCAGCATAGATTCCAGATCCAGCCAGATGTCGCATAGATTCCGGATGGAATGCCTAGAAGGAATGCTCTACATACAAGCAGCCCAGACTGCAACAAACTGCAGCATGAAATCCAAACGCAATACCCAGACAAAAACGCATCCCGGAAGGAAAGTGAAACATGGGCATGCAGAATGGTAAGCCCTTGCGGGATCAGGGTGATGCACGCCTTTTGATGCTGACACCAAGGACACCTTACCGCGGATCAACGCACTCTACAAGGAATACTTCTGGCCGAAGACATACTGCACGTGGATCCGGATCCCGTGAGTCCATGAGCCTCGGAAAAGTACGACTTCGACCCTCCGAAGCCGCAAAAGGCGTGCAGTCATGCAGTCCTGGCTTCCGGCATTACCATCGTGGGGCAAGATAATTTGACTAGCAGCAGAGATTGAGCTTCGCAGCACGGCTAATTCAGCTGGTGAAAAACATGCGCAATGCCTATCAATGCCTTACTGCTGCAACGTATCTATCAGGCATGCATCATACACAAACACATCAAGTTGAGAAAACTGACGTCGTGCTCAGTACTAGCGACCTTCGGCTTGCCTCCTACTATTCCACGAAGGTCCTCTGTCTCACGCCATGACTTGTCCGTGTGCGTTTTATCCATTTGCGTTTTATCAGACGGGAAGCGAGCCTTTGGGGGGCACTGTGTAGTCTTTGTGCTCCTGAAGACGATCTTTCAGACGTGAGCTTTGCTATTGCTTGATTGCAGAGCAAGAGTTCCCTTCGTTTGCTGCGCACGCGCTCAGTCAATTGATCACATGCGTGGCCCTGTGTGCAAGCGACGCATCTGCGAGTCAAGGTCCCACAGCCTTCAAGTTTGAGCCGACCCTGCAATGTCAGGCCACCGCAAGAGAAGGATTGATTCACTTGGTGTAGCGGCGCTACGACTTGCATTGCAGCCGCCAGCCGCATGCCATTTCACAGGTAGACAGCAGAATCACAGCCTGCAACATTGTAATGTCTGTGCGTCTGTGTGATTGCTCAACCCAAAGAGCAAGATTCAATTCGCGGTAGAAGCTGAGCAACAATCATTGAAGCTCGAGTTCATGCCCCTTGCATCGTAGAACCCGTGATCGCCAACAGTCACAATGTCACAAGAGCCTGCGGAATGCAGCCTGGTGCGGCGAGACACATCGTCGTTAGAGCCACCCTTATCCCCGCTCGCGGCTTGACTGCAACAAAGCTAAATTTGATTTGAATGCGCTATTTGCTTATTTTGCCTGGAGCCCCCTCAGGAATGCCTGCGCAAGGCAAGCTGACGCGAAGCCCGAAGCGGTCTTTGCCTTGTCTCGGTGAAGTGCCTGGCAGGTGGCGAGAAGGTTCGGGCTTCTTGACGCTCCTCCACCGCCAGTTCCACAAAAGGCAGATGCCATCGAAAACCTTCAGCCAAGTGTGTGCGTGTGTGTGCGCGCCATGCCAGGAATCCGAACCCCAACAACCTGGCAATGTGCAGCGAGGGGAGCCGCCACCAACTGCAGTACCTTGGCTACAAATGCTACAAGGAATGCAAGGGCCTTCAAGGATCTTTAAGGGTCTTTGTGTTGTGCTCACTTTCGCTTGCAGACGTGGTGGACTTTGCTTCCTCTGGAGCCGTCAAAGTATGAGCGTGTAGTGGCCTTGTCCTCAGTGGTGACGATCAGTATCACAGGCTTTAAACCTGGCGATAGCTCAGGTGTTCGATACAGAGACGTCTGGTTTCAGCGGTGAGGATGAGATTCTTGAAATCGGAGCCGTGGAGCTGGAGGCCTTGAGGCTGCAATGTGGCACCAAGCCCCCGTGTCTTTGATAGGTTTGCAGCCCGAGCCCTGGGGCTAGATGCTTGGCTGCATTTGGCCCGAGCGGCCAAGCCTGAATGGCCCGTCAACAAGGCTATGCGATTCTTCGACCGACGGGCGTGTCATTTCACAGTGCCGAGCTTGGCTGTCGAACGGGCTTAGCGGCTTATCTATGCAGAGGCCGACACATTTTTGCTGAGGCCTGTTACAGACGTCACGGGAGATCCACGCAAAAGCGGCGCAGGTGAATGGACTTTGCCAAAAGGATTTGGAGGCTTGGCGGACAGAATTGGCTTCCTTTTGTTTTCCTGTCGGATATTTCCTACATGAGGCTTGTCAAGGCCAGCTCCCCTGGCGAGGCGGCAATGCCTCGGCCGTTGGCGATTCGCAGCTTCCTTCGATTTCTCGCGGGCGAGAAGACTGCACTGGTCGCTCACAATGCGGCCTTTGACTTGAGGACGGACGGGCGTTCGCCCCATGTCGGGCAAGCATCCCAGGTAAGTCACAATTGGAGCCTGGATAGTTGAAGTGTTGGAGTGGGGGCAGTTGCAACAATGATTGGTGTGGCCACCCTTGTGATTCTTTAGGTCCTTTTGTAGTGACTGATGTGACCAGTGCACAATACAAGCTGTTGCACCACTGAACTCGCCCAGCAGCTGCTCGGCTCAAAGATGTTGCCGCTGGCAGATCTGGCAGAAGGCAATGTGTGGAGGCCAGACACTGCAGCCGTCTTGCGCAACTTTCCTGTCGAACCGAGCGTGTTCAGGTGATGACTCAATCGTGGGATCCATCCGTCGTTGGATTCCGAGTTTCATTTCAGCATGACACACTGCGACAAGTATTACAGTAGGAAAAACCAAGGCATGCACTCCATCAAAGATCAAGAAACAGATAGCAGAATGCAGCTGAGCTCAGTTTGGTGGAGTTGGCCAATTTTGGGTTGCATGTTTTGCATGTTTTGCATGTTTTGCCAGTTGAGTCGATAAGAGGTGAGCGTCTCACTGCTCAAATCGAGCTCAAGGGCCAGCAGCAGGCGACTCTTTTGCTCCGCTGCCCGGCAAGCGGCCGCAAGCGCAGGTGGAAAAAGAGAGGCAGCGTCTGGAGGAGGTGCTGCAAAGAAGGGGTGAGATTGTGGAGAAGCACGAGAAGGCCCCAAGTGCTTTTTGTTGGTTTGTCTGGAAAAGCCTTGTCAGCTTCTTGTCTTTTTGCCAGTTTTTTCTGGTTTCTTGGATTGTTCTTGCGATCTTGGCAGGCAATGGCCAAGATCACTCAGGAACAGTCTCGCTTTGCGGCTTTTGTGATGCGAGTCGGCCTTGCACAAAGCATATCTGAAGTTGCCAATGTAGGAGCACGAGTCGAGCCTGAGGGCAATGGCGCCTGGCCTGCATTCCACTTCATTGAAGACTTCTCAGAGCGTGGCTAGGTCCGAAGGACTGAAGATGATCTGGCCGAAAGCTTGCATTCCCAACAGAGGGCCGACGAGGAGTGCAGCTTGGCAGAGATTTGTAGCTCCCTAGGCGAGAATGAGAGACTGAATGAATAAGAGTTTGCTCTTGGCAGAGATGAGAGCTGAGGTAGGGTAATGCAGCACAAGGCAGCCGAGCTGGAACGCCGCAAATCCATTCTGGAAAAGGAGGTCAAACGGTTGCACTGCTCCTTGCCACTACTGTGCCGATGTAATCTATGAAAGTATGGCATCCCAGGTTTGCTGGACAAATTGCAGAAGGCTAATGCGCTTACCATGGTTTGTGTTGCATTGCTGTGCACATGTGACACATGTGCGTGATACAAACAAACGAAACGTCTGCCAGTGGGCCAGTGGGCAGGATTTCGAGCAGAGAAGGCTGATGATGGTGGGTCTGGCCGACCAAGAGGTGAGGAGCTAGCTGTGTCGTGTCAGTCCTTGGACTTTGGACGTACTGTGAAGAAACAACAACGTATTCTGAACTTGTAAATACGTGCACTCCATGTCCTGTCGCTTCTTTCTGTGTAATGCGCATGAGAATGCCGACCTCGAGCCAAGGTCAACACAAGCTTCAGCCAAACTGCTGAGCACTCTGGCTGCATCGGGGCTTTGCGTGTGAGGGATGTCCGAGCGCCACCAAAGTGCGCGCAGCAGAGCACTCTTGACTCCGACTATGCCAATGCCAGGGAGGTGAAAACTACATCATTGTTTGCTCAAGAAGTTCAACTCGATGCCTTTATGTCAATTGATCGAATGAAGGACACTCTGTCGTGTCGCAAAGTGTTCGCTGCCAGTTGAAGACGGAGTGCTTTGTGAGGAGGAGATCAAAGCGAGTGCGGAGGTTGCGGATGCTATGGCCGAGTCACGAAGCAGGTGGGGAGAATCGCACCGCTTTGCATCTTACCGCAGGGCGGGATCTTACCGCTTGCGCTGTGCCCCAGCTTGCCAGGTTTGACTCGTACACTGCAATCCACGCCAGCCGCACTGTGAAGGGTATCTCTGAGCAGAACTTTGCGAATGCAGCTCAGCCGAACCAAGCTCAGTATAATGTTGCCAGAGGCTGTGTCACCGTGGCAGGAGAAGCAAAAAATCGTTGAGAAATGGTGGTCCCACTGGGAGCGTGTGATACCCAGCATTTCGCAGATCATTGCACTGGCTGCAGTTCTTTGTCCCAGGTCACATTGACTCCCTGTCTCCAGGGCCACCTTCTCTTGCTCAGGCTGGCTCTGATCTCAGGCTTCACAGGCTTGACAGCTGCAGTGCACCGCTCAGATTGCTGCATCTCGCCCGGACACTCCAATGGTGCCAACCCAGAACCGTCCAAGGCGTTTTCTCTGAGTTTTGGGATGGTGGCACATTCAATCCTTGGGCAGGTCTGTGGAAACTGCGAGGCAGAAAGCTGACATGCAAATGCCGCTGGGCAGAGCTGTAATGATCAACTGAATGTGAGCCACAACGAGCACGTCTAGACTTTTCTTGCCATCTTTGATAGTTTCCCCTTCAGATAAAAATGATGGAACCATGTATTTTGCCAGTTGCTTTACATTCTGAATCATGCAGTCATGCGCTGCAAGGAGGCTTCGCTTACAGCGCGGAAATGGCGCGCTGCAAGCAGGGAAGGACGAAGCAGTCGCGTTCGAGTCATTGCACTTGTGCTTTGCACTCTAGCTGCCACACTCGATTGCCTAGGAGGACCGTCCGAAAACGGCTCCTTGACTCCTTGACTCCTTGAGACTTGAGGCCAAAGGCCATCGAAGCGGATGCTTCTGAACGCCCGTCAATGACGGCATGGGAGATCCATCTCAAAGGTGTCACCAATAGGGCAGGCCACTGGAACACGTCGGTGCCTATCTGTGCCTATCTCATGATCTGATCCGCTGAGGGCCTGTTGTGCTCAACATCCCACTCCGAGTGTGGTTCCCTTGTTCCGTGTGCCTCAGATGTTGCGCCACTTGAGGAGTTTCTGCGGCAAAAAGATATGGCAGGCTTGAGTCTAATTGAGGCCGAAACTCCAGCTTCGTCCAAAGGGTCATCGGTAAGGGATGCCTTGCGGCACAACTTGTTGAGACCCAGCATGTGGTGGTGCATGGATGGATACATGTCAGCTTCACATGAACCATCATGAAAATGCCAGGATGCTGCTGCAAGACTTGAAGCGATGCGGCATGGAAGCGGCTGGCAAGGGGACCCGTCCTCAGACAGAAGTTTGTTCACCCGGATGAAGCCCTCTCCTGGTACCGCAAGCTTTCTTTTCTCAGGCTGGGCAAGCGGACCTTCTGTCACAACCTGAGTTCCAGCTTGCTGTTTGCCAGTGAGATCTGCCCCTTCCAGGCAGCGCAGCAGCGTTTGGGGCCATAAGGAGCGGTTGTCACACAGTGGGGTGCCATGGCGGGGAAATGCTCGAGGCCCGCCAGCCCTCGAGATTTGACCACAGCCTGCCTTCGCCTCGACTGCCTCGCCTGTCTTGATGGCCTGTGGTTTTGTTTCGGACCAGCAAGACGAGCGAGGCTACCTGCTGGACATTCGCGAGGGTAGCCCTGACAGTGCCGGAATCACAGCAAAGGGCCCGTACGCACTGCACAAATATTGGACGTCGTGGGAATAATCTCCATGAATCAGGTGCCTGCAACTTGAGGCTTGGAGGAATACCGTTCACTCCGCGCTGGTCGATGCGGCGCTCACCGCCAAGGTGGGGGATTGGAAAAGAAGTGAGCGACTGACATCAACGCATTGCGATTACATCAGCGAAGTGGTTTCATCGATGCAAACCGAGGTTGTCCTAGCGATGGCCTCCATGCTTTCGAGAGAGCAGGGTCAACACGTAGAGCCCATGTCCCAGTCAAGACGCTGATAACACCATGACATTTCATGGATGCTTTGCCAGACAAGAATTCTTGGCTGGTGCTTGAGGTTTGGGCCAGCATGCGTGTCACTGCCATGTCGATTGCCAGTGAAGTCTCCGCCTCCACCGGACGAGGTGCGACTGACAATACTGACGTATCAAGCCACACGTTTCCTGAGACTGAGGCGGACAGGGGCCGCAAGCGACGCTTACCGGCCTCCTTTGCCGCGCCTGACTGAACTCTGCGGGCGAAAAAAGAGTCGCTTGCTGCTTTTTACCCTGTTGAGAGAGCAAGGTTGCCAAGGTAGCTTGATTTCTTGCAATCAGAGGCATGCATTCTGCCTTGCCTTGCAAGGCAAATGTCAGGGACGTATGGCTCCCTGGTGAACTTGTGGATTTGCCTCCGCCGCGCGCCCAGTGGTGAGATGATGATGATAATGATGATGATGATGACGACGATGATGACGATCAGGATGAGGATGAGGATGATGATGAGGATGAGGATGAGGATGAGGATGATGAGGATGAGGATGAGGATGAGGATTATGAAGATGAAGATGATGATGAAGATGATGATGATGATGAGGATGAGGATGATGATGAGGAGGAGGAGGAGGATGAGGAGGATGACGATGACAATGACGATGATGACGATGATGACGATGATGACGATGATGACGATGATGGTGGTGGTGACGATCCGAGGATGACGATGACGATGACAATGACATGCCCATGACGATGACGATGACGATGAAATGTTTTGCACATGTTGTTCGATATATCTTTTTCAACCAGGCCTCTTCCTGCCATCTCGCAGCAAGAAGAGGAGCAGGCTGGCGCACTTGGTTGGCGTCTCCGGGCAGCTTTATCAATCACAAGATAATGCCAGAGGGCCGCGGTGAGTAATTTCTCAAGGTCGGGGCATGTCGGGGCCAGGATGGCTGGGGGGCTGCATGCTGCAAGGTGCCGGATCCGATCCAGTGTCGGCCAAAGAAGTGGAGAAAGATGGGCCGAAGAAACTTGGGCTGGGTGCCACGCTCACGGGTCGTCCTTTCGCACGTTTTGAAGCACACGTCAAGGTTAGCTCAAAATCAAGAAGGAGAGTTGCCAACAAAGGCGGCGAGTGTCATTTCTGCTTGTTCCACGGATGCCAGCAACAACTTGTGCTGGCACAGGCACCTTGCATTGAGTATTCTGCCAAGAAATCTTGGGTGGCACGTCGGATGTGTGGCATATGGTTTCTTAGCTGATTTCTGCATGGCCGACTCGGGTCTCCCGTTTCTCTTGAAGCGAGCAGCTTCTTTCCGCCACATTGTCTCGCACATTTTCTCGGCGACCCTGGCCCTGGATATGTGTCACCACAGGAACATGCTGCCTGCGAGTAGTGTGCTCAAATTTCTCACCGCGAGAAAATCACATGAATTCGACCGTGTGGATGTATGAGTCAGGGCTTGCATTGTCATGACTGATGTGTATCTCGGCCGCTGGGGTCTTTAGCTTGCATTGACTTGATTAGACACTTGTCCCAGCAATGGCGCTTGCCTTAGCTCCGCGTGGGCTGCCAAGGCTGTCCATCGCTAAGCGGGCTGACAGGCGCTCAGAGACCCAGCCCCTGGCACCGCATCGCGGGGCACGTCTTTGCAGCGCGGTGCTGCTTGGCGCTGGCTTTTGCAAGTCTCAAGCGCGTCGGGCATGCCGGGCATCGCAGAGCCGCCATGCTGAAGTCGATCCTGCCAGCCAAGCTCCAGTCGACAATGAGCATGAGCCTGATCGGCTGGTCAGATATACCGGTGGGAATGTAACAGTGCGGGCCATGCGAGCTACCAAAATGGTGCAAGAGGTGGTGAGCCAGCATAATTGTTCACCCACGGCATCTGTTGCTTTGGGCCGGGCGTTGATGGCCACGACACTTTTGGCCAACGGCAGGGATGAGGGTGAAAGCTTGCAGCTGAGAATACAAGGACATGGACCGATTGGCTCAATCATTGCTGAGGCCTCGTCGGCTTTAACCTGCCGCGGCATGGTTGGCAATCCTATGGCTGATGCAGCCTCTGTGTCAGAACTTGTGGGTGTGGGGGATGGTTCTACCCTGCGATTGACACGCACACATCCCTATTGGAAGCGGCCATACACTGGCACCATTCCACTGAAGATGGGTGAAATCGCAGAAGATATTGTGCAGTACTTGGCCATGAGCGAGCAAACTCCAGCATCGATGGGCTTGAGCGTGGAATGGGATGAGGAGGCAGGGTGCCTAGTGGGGTCAGAACCAATATTCAAGGCTTACAGGCTTGGATATCGCCTTCACAGAGAATGCAGACAGCTTTTTTGTTATTAACAAAAATGAGTTGCGTCAACAATGACCGTGACCTATGCAAGGCGTATATTGTACTGCTTCAGCATTGGATTTAATGCGTTGTGTATTATATATATATATATGTATGTAGTGTGAACAGGTGTTGGGCAAATGCTCAATAATTCAGGACCATCAGGGGCCAGACAGGCTGAGCAACTAGAATCAACAAACAAGCAGGACACGGCTCAGTAATCAAATTGAGCCTAATCGACAACTGCCTTATGAGGCTGTAAGCGCCTTCCTGAAGGCAGCACCTAGTTTGAACTCACTCCCTCGTGCAAGCTGGGCTCGTGTCAGGAGACTGCTACAAGCACTCCTCCTTGTTCATGGTCTTCATTTGTTCCATTGAAACGTGGCTTTCGGCAGCGTGTCATGGCTCTCACTGTTTGGTGAGCCCTGAACAACTACCCAGCATGCTTCAATTGAGTGGGATTTGGTTCGTACTGCAATGATCAGCGCTTGAAAAGCTTGAGCCTAGATCATCCTTTCCCACTCAAGACAAGCGTTGTTTACCATTGCAACAAGGCTTTCCCGCCTCTGCTTTCCTGAGGAATTCTGTTCCTTCCGTCCAGCCGCATTGTGTGAGAACCAGTGGTTGGATTTCTACCCAATGAGTCAAAGCAGTGGAAGCAACCGGCTATTTCATGTTGTCACTGCACAGAAATAATCCGAAACGAGCTGACGATGCCTGTGCCATGCTGTGCTGCCGTAACCATCCCGAACCTCTTCGCACGAAACGATTACTGCATGCGTCCTGGCTGCCATTGGTGTTGATAGTCTTTTTTTGGGTCAGCTGTCTGCAGGTTGCCAAGCTGTGCTCTTGTGCTTTCTCTTAACAAAATGCCATCACTCATGGCGCATCATCTCAATCACCCGCCCACAGCACCCGCAAAATAAGAAAGATCGTCTTGGCCTGTGAGGGAATCAGGCAAAATGTTGCACTGGCAGAATAAGAGGAAGCACAAATTGTCATAGCATAACTCCTCTGTCCTGGCATTGAACGGGTTGCGAAAGCAACGCATGCAACAGGCAGACGGGCAAACGCCACCCACCTCTGGGTAAGACGACCGCTCTCTGCCTTGGCCACCCTGTTCCGCAATCTTTACACAAGCACGGACCAGGACGAGACCAGCTCCCAAACCATGACGAGTGCAGAGGTACCGAATGCAGAGATACCACAAGGAGCGCAGAACTAGGGCACAGGGGCAGCAGCCAGAAGCTATTTGCAAGATTGTCGATTCCCTCCTGGGCCTTACTTCTGCAAGTCGGTCTGCACACCACAAAAGCTAGATTCAGGACGCTCAATGCCGCAAAGTCGTTTGGAACCCTGAGGGTCTTTGTCTCCTTTCTCGGAGGCTGGTTGCGTCAAGGAAGCGGAGGGCTGGCTAGTCACGCTTCTTCCAGGCAAGCGACTCAGCTAGCACTAGGGAGGCGACAGCTGGACCTGTGATCGTTTGGGCCGAGTCTAAGGCTGGGATGAGACGGAAGTGTCAGTGGTTGAGGCTCGTGACCTTTCCAGTCACAAGGCCTTGCACGAAAGCCGCACCAATTAGACCAACATCAAGACCTTCTCCTCCATTGAGTCAACTGACTCCCGCCCAGATGCGCGAGCCTTGGTTTTGTGTTTTGTTTTTGTTGAGCTTGAGCTTATGGCTCAGCACTGGCCCAGGCAATTTGCCAGCACTTGATGCGAGAGCTGCGTGGTGAATACCAAGCAGAGCAAATGCCGACCTTCCGGTGCAATTGCTCCAAGTCCAGGCCACGACTCGAGTCAGGGGTGTGTCTGCAAATAGGCCTAGTATGAATATGGGAGAAGAGACTGAAGAACCTTTTTGGGTTTGCTCCTCCGACTCATCTGGGACTCAGGCTGGCAACTGCCGTTATGATGCTGGGAAAGCAAGAGGCAGAACCGTCGACTTTTGCCTTGCTCACTTGAACACTGCAGCTGTGAGCATGTTCATGTCTAGACAGGTGATGAACATCCTGAGGGACAAGGACACAAGACATTGATATGCATTGTGGTTTTGCAATCAGACTACTAGTCTGTAGTGCAGGAAACCGTCGAGGCCTCGTGTGACTGGTGCGGAAGGCAGCTTCAATTGACGCCAGAGGAGGCTGGGGTCTCAGAGCAGCATATACAGCCCGCGGCTTTTGAAATAGTGGAACGTGCTGATCACTTGCGCAGCTATTTTTGACATAAATCTGATTGTGCGACGATTTTACAAGCATGAATGTCCATGCACTGTCAGCATGATCATGATGGGATCACAACTCATTTTTGACAATGCAACAAGTGCTGTACCAGCAGTGCGAAGCAAGAATCACAAGATCCCACGTCTTGCTTGCTACTTGTTGCCATGGCACCGGCGGAAGATCTAGCCAACACACCAGCTGAGCGAGCTGCGGCGAAGCCCGAAGATTCTACGGTGGACTTTGCTGCTGCCACGGACTGGGTGCAAAAAACCATTGGCATGCTTTCTTGGTAAGGATGCACATATCACCCGCTGCAGTCAGGCCGGTGGGCCATGACTTCGGAGGGTTTGCCTTGGCTTTGCCATCCTGCCTGCCAGGAGATCAATGTGGGTGGCAAGGGCCACATCATTGTATTGGGGGCTGGCCTTGTTGGGTCACTGTGCGCGGTGGTCCTGCTGAAGAAGGGTTTCAAGGTGCATCTCTACGAAAGATATGCAGACATCCGATCCATTCCAAGCGCTGGAAGATCTATCAACTTGAGTGTTACCAGCAGAGGCTTGCGCGCCATCAAGGCGTTGGGGGGAAGCCTCTATGATGACGTCGTTGGTAACCTCACCACCAAGGTCATGGGACGCATCATCCACATGCCAGATGGGAATGTGTTGTTTCAGCGGTACGGAAAAGATGATAGCGAGCACAACTACTCAGTTTCAAGAATAGAGCTCAATAAATTCCTATTGAACGCAGCTGCAAATGCAGGAGCAGAGCTGCACTTCAACCATGCCTTGCAAGAGAGCTCAGATTTTGCAACACCGGGCGATGTGGGCTCCTGCTTGCACTTCAAGGTTGGCAAGGAATGCCTCAAGGTCAATGCAGAATGTCCAGTAGTTGCTTGTGACGGTGCAGGCTCAAGAGTGCGCTATGCCCTGAAGCGCTGCGGCTTGACAGATTTCACCGAAGACTTGCTGACGAGGGGATACAAAGAGGTTTTGTTCCCGAAACCTGAAGGAGACGGATTTGGTGCCAAGGGAGAGGATGGAGGCGAGCCCTGCAAGGGCCAGTTCGGCTTGCATATTTGGCCTCGGGGAGATCACATGCTCATGGCGCTGGCAAACCGGGACGGCTCCTTCACTGGGACCATCTACATGGAGAACGAGGGTCCTGATGAGTCCTTCGCTGCATTTACCGATACAGCCGGCGGTAGGGCCAAGTGCATAGACTTCTGCAACAAGTACTATGCCGAAGCCATTCCGCTGGTTGGCGGGCTGGACAGCCTTGTAAATCAGATTGTGCAGAACCCGACGGGCATTCTTGGAACTGTTCGCACATCGCAGTGGGCTGTGAAGGGGAATGTACTTTTGATTGGCGACTCCTGCCATGCCATGGTGCCCTTCTTTGGCCAAGGATGCAACTGCGGCTTTGAGGATACGCTCTGGTTGAGCAAGCTGATGGATCGCTTTTGTTGTGATGATGGCCAAGTTTGCCTGGAGAAGTGCACGAGCGAGAACTACGCCGCTTGCTTCGCTGCTGTGCAGGCTGAACGGAAGCCAAGTGCAGATGCTATTTGCGATATGGCCTTGGAGAACTTCATCGAGATGAGGGACAAGACTGGCGACGTCAAGTTTCAGGTGACTCGGCTGAATGCATGCAAAGAAGAAAACAACTGCTGACAAGACTATTGACCTGCCGTTGCATGTACTTCTTGCGCGTCACTCCCAGGTGATGAAGAAGCTCGAAAATCGTTTGGAGAATGTGTTCCCAGACAAATTCCGGAGCCGTTATGCCATGGTATGCTACGGCGGAGTATTTGGGCTGAATAACATATTGGAGTTGCTAGACTACCCTGACAGGCATGTTGTGCATTCGGTGAATACGCCAACCATGCGACCTTCACCGTAAGGAAGGCAATGTATCCTACGCCAATGCCAAAGACTTAGGGAGTGTTCAATCTTCGATTTTGGAAAAGTTGCACCTTGGCAGCATTCCTCATTTCTGCCCATGCGGCCGTGGGTTGTTTGCTCAGATAAGGTGGGAGGCCTTGGGCGGCATGTCGCCGGAGGAGGTGAACTGCATCGACCTTGCGCAAGCAGAGCAACTGATTGATCAGTGCATGCCTGAGCCAGCTTGTGGTTGCTTCTGAACCCGTGTAGCTGAAATCCAGCGATAGTTGATTCGAGAGAATTAAATGTGGAAATTTGTAGGGCCTTGGGAACCACAAGAACGGTGCGTTGCTACTTGACCTAGGGAATCCGCAGCACCATGAATCATGCTCGGTCAGCACATGATGTGAGGCTGCTGGTTCCGCAGCAGGAGAAGCTGGGAATTGACCTCTCGACTATCCGGCATTGATGTCATTGGAAACGTTTCACCTACCTTGGGCGAGATACAGTTGTGCCCATCCAGATTTTCAGCTCTTGTACACCTGCAGTATCAAACCGAGTGAGCCACGAGCGCAGCTTGAGGGCAGCAACGCACAAAGCCAGACCAGAGTGCGAATGGGAGTATGCAAAGCGAACATCCCAGGTGGCTGATCATGTGAGCACCCAAGAGGGTCAAGAAGAAATCTCCACACGTGCTTACCTCAGGCTGATACAAGGAGCACAAGTGACCTCGAATCCGTTGGGTTGTGCTCAGGCAGTTACTCGCCTCGCGACGGCCTCAGAATTTGCGTGACTGGATACGGGAGGGGCAGGCTATCACTCAATGACCCAGTGGACAAGTTGCGTACACGTCTAAGTCGTATCCCAGGTCAGCTGAAGCTCAAAGAGGACTGTGGACTTGTCCAGTAGGGAAAGGGAAGACATGTCGCCTTTAGCTATCATGTATTTAGCCGTCAAATTGCATGGGTGTTCTAATTTTTCATCTAGCCGAATGCGATTGAGCTGGAAGGAAGAGCTGAAGGCGATGCCAGCAACAGGGAATGCCGATTGGAGTTGAAGGACAAAGATCCAGTTTTGGTTAGAGCCAGAGGCTCGATTGACAACTCTCGCCGTTCTGTTGCTTAAAACGCAGATGCAGACATTGTCTCTATCTTCTCTTGCACGTGGCAAGACAATTTTCCAGCTGCAGCCAATGTGTGCTGAGTTGTATGCATACACACTTGTATGTATTGCTGCTGCAAGCATGTGCACAAAAACAAAGCGCTTTGAAAGTTTGAGGGATTTGTGATTGGTGCTGTTTGTTTGCCCTGGGCCAGGATAACATGCATATTGGATCAAGCGGCATCGAAGTGAGAGCGCCAAATATGCATTACTGGCATTGAAGGGGAACTTGAAGTTGTTTTCCCCAGGCAGTGTGCGTCTTGAGCCTTTGGTAGCATCGTCTTCGTTTGGCAGTCCCATGTGACGCTCTCTTTTTTTTTAATGGCACTGAATTTCCGCAGCTTGCAAGGCCGTCACTCGATTAGGGCCCGGGCGCGAGCCATGCTGTCAGATCTCAGTCATGCGGCCTGTGCGCGGGACTACCCATCCCAGCGAGTTTTGCCGCTTGGATACAAGGGTTCGAGTATGGGAGTGCTGCGAATATAGGCGCCAGGATGTGGCCCCTTTGTGAAAGATGCTGTAGCAGGTGGGGCTGAAACCTGACGAAAACGCACCTACAAGGGGTTGGCCAAAAGCTGGCCAAGAAGTTTTGTGACTTGCAATCAATGTTCAAGTTCCATGCTGGGCACGGTGCGGACTCACATTCCTCGGACCAAATAACAGAGCATGGAGGGAGAATCCGTCTCATGGAGCAGTTGACAAAAGAGTGGGATGACACTTTCTAGCCGCTCCAAATGGTTAGTTCTTTTTTTTTGGGAATCCAAGCTTGAAGAGAGTTTCCCATTCTAAGACGGGGGGAGGTTAGCCGGGCAGAAACGGTTCAAGCACAAAGGTGATTGGAGACGCCTTGTTTTGAGCAGCCTAGGTACTCTGGCGCGGGTTCCACGCAAAGCAAGTTGCATTCCATGAAGGCATCGGGTCAAGGAATGGATCGCGCTTGCCTTCCAAATTGGCTTGAACGCAAGTGCCGCAGGCGGGAACCAGCACTGGCCGGAATTCCACTGTCACATCAGCCAGCTCTGCCCTCAGGATGCACTCAAGCACAACACTCAATGTTTGTCAGGGCAACAAGCAACAAGCGGCGGCCAGTGATTTTGGTTTGTTGACCTGGATTTGGTGAAGGTGGTTCGTCGTACTCATCATCTGCGAGCGGATATGTGTCATCCACAAACTCTTGTGCGTGGCAGCAGCCTTATGCCGTGCAGCAAGAGCAAGGTCGGCAAGATTGCTGTACGTGCTTGGATGTGAACCGGTTCTTTGCACTACTTCAAGCCTGCGTCCACATGAGGACTCACAGCTCGGGCTCGTTCACGACGACTCGGACCACTGTGAAGCGAGGGCAACCTCACAGGCTCCAATAAGTTTGTTTCCCGATACGTTCCAATCAATGCGGAAGCCGGGGATGGATCGAGACAGACGTGAGTTGGGAAGGCCAACGACAGAGGAAGGCCAGGAGCTTGGCGCGTGCATCATGCTGATGGAAGATCCCCGCCCAGGCATGTCCACTTCCCAAGAGGGAACGGAGGTGGGATGCCCAAGTGGGAGTAACAAGCAGAATGGATTTTGAGGACACCTGTAGTGGTATGCCTGGAGGCCAGGAGGAGATCGGATGCTTCATTCCCGGCTTCCATCAAGAGGTCGGCCAACTCAAGTGTTTTGCAGTGCAACATTGCAACATTGCGGAATTCGGAATGATATGGTATGAGATCAGATGATTGAAACGTGCATGCCACGCTTGTCACTCTATGAACCCATATGAATCCCCATGAGTTGCTTCATCCTGGACGCACCACGCAAGGGGTCCAAAAAGACATTGGTTCGCGTATCGACAAGCGTGCACAATCCAAATACATTGGGCACTAAATGTTCTGTGCCTAGCATCGGCTCCTGCGTGCCAAGGACCGACCTCTCACACCAAGGTGCCTTCTTCGCACAGTGCTTCTGTTGCTCACATGGGTCGGGATGTCATTTCAAGCACAGATTGTGCTTGGGAGGTGCCGAAGAAGCGAAGAAAGCATGGCCCTTAGAGGGCGATGCACGCCAGAAGCTAGGTGTAAGAAATAATGCACATAATTGCCCATACCAGTTGCGGAGGCAGAAGATGATGTGATTTTGCAAATGCATGATCGTCCATGTGCTCAAAATAAAGAATTAGATAGCGGCATATTCTGCGGTAGCAGGCAAGAACAGGAGCTGCACAAGATGTTTTGAATTGAAGGGTTCAAGGAGCACCTTGAACCACTTTACAGAGCTCCCAGCCACCAAGCCACCCACCCAACCCACCCAGCAACCCACCCACACAGACACACACACACACTCTCCCACGTAGCCAGATCGCGTTCAATTCCAGCTGTTGTGCCTTCCATGTTGGAAGGCATGCAATCAGCTGCGATGGCGTATCATGCACTGTCCTTGAGTTTGCGGCTACATGTGCCATGAAGGTCGCTCAGCCAGAAGCAAGCCTTGCACATGTTTGCATGTTTGTTTTGAGTGTATCAAATCAGCATCATACGCCAAGGTGTCATGGTGAGGTGGCTGCTTGGCAGGAGACCTCACCCTTCAACATGAACATTGGGGCTTGAGTTTTTTGTGCTGCCTATGTGTTTGTCCTTTTCGCCTTAGGCTTTGGCTGGGTTTATTCGCCAATCTGACAACGCAAGCCCCGTAGGTACCAATCCGGAAGCCTCCAAAATCGAAAGATCTCCCCAAGGAGGCTCAATCTGTGAACTAGCTCTAGCCTTCGTTCACCCCTCTCCGAAGAGGACGTGAGGGACAGACCCGAGGCTCTTCGTCGTGATTCTTTTGCAGACAGCAGCCAGCGATGTGGCGTTGCTTATCTGCCAGTTGGAATCTGAAGCTGCCAGTTTACCAGTTCCGTGATTGTCCCCATAGCTCTGTAAGGTTGCGGCCCATGCAAGATGCCAAGATGTCCGCATCGTGGCAAGAAGCCGTTGACTGCAGGTTTCTTTCTTCCCCCAACAGCTGAAAGCTTTGGGGTCTCCGAGATAGGCTCTGTGGTTTGGGGCAGCTTTCAGGGTGAGTTCCGGAGGGTTCCAGGGTTGCGCTGTTGGGGATACCTCCTGTTGTTTTTCTCCGCCGCATGAAATTCATGCCACAAAGTCCAACCATTTGCAATGCGCTGTGCCCTGAATGTGAGGCACCACGCGACACCATGCACCTGCCGCCAACCGAAGTACGGCGCATGTCTGAGGCGCCGAAGCAAAACGCGCTGCCATGCGTTAGCCAGCCAATGCTTTGATTGTTTGTACATGGGCTATCATGCGCTAGCCAGCCCTGATGATTATGTGGCTGTTGGATTCACCTTGGGTTGCATGGCAACATTAAGTCTGTTTGCGTGCAAGGCAGAAGAGGACGCTAATAGTTCCAACTACAGCCTCACGTCCAGCTCAACAGCTACCACCACAACCTCTTTGTTCTACTTAGCGGCGGAAGTGTCAGGATATGTCAGGTTTGCAGCAAGAGATGTGAACAGGGAAGGCGCTTTAGCCGCCTGTGAAGCAGCTTTATCGGAGACACTTGGAATTGCAGCATGGCAACTGAACACAACAGCAGAGCTTATCGAAGACGCGACGTGGCACGTGTCCTACAGCTTTGTGGTGGATGGAGACGCCTTAGTCGGTATGCTCCAGGCTGCAAGAGCTACAGCTGCCGACACCTCAGAGTTCACAGAGAGATTGCGGCAGATGCTGGTGCACAGTGAGTCCTTTGTGGCAGGCTCACTGCAAATGGTGGTGTTCGCAGATCCTCATGTGGAAGAGGTGGATGTTTTCGTTCTGAACAGTACCTCAACCACAAAGACATCAGTGACTCACACGTCCACCACCACTACTCAGACGCGCCTGGTCAATCTTGTGCTGGAGAGTGCTGTGATCCAAGATCCTTTCCTTTCAGTGAAGATGCATTTCAACCGGCAGGCTCGATTTGTTGGGCAGTCAGATGCAAGCGGATGTTATGCAGGTGGGTTTCCGATCAAGACCTGGCAATCATTTGGGCATTCTCCCAGATGCCACTGGGTTGATCCTGAAACCTTGGAGATATTCTTTGGACGAGCTGCAACCTTGGCACCTGGGGAGATGTTGTATACTGCCCTTGGTGGCTTCGAGCCATCCGGAAATGTAGTATGGTCGACAGTACCTTCACTGAGCACCCAGGTGGTGGCTGAAGGCGCGGTTGAGGTGTCGCCAGCCTTGTTCTACCCAAGAACTGCCCTTAGTTGCAGCAGAGTCACCATCTCTGCGGAAGGCTCAGTCGGGGGAGTGCACCGGCCACTGGAGGTCACCTGGTTTATCAACCCACCAACCTTTGATGCAGTGAGAGAGGCACTGCAGGGCGCAGTGGATGCTGCAAATGCGGAGAGGAGCCGAGTTTTGCAGTTTTCACCCATAGTTTGGTCCAATGCCATTCAGATTCTGCGAGTGATTTTTGGCGAAATCTCCTACTTCAAAATCCCGGTGCACGTCAACATTACAGCTCAAGTTTCAAACTGGCTGCATGCTGCGACGAACATCTCTGGAACAGTGACTTTGTCCAAGCAGCAAGAGTCTATGCCAGAGTTGCTACCACTTGCGACCGAGCTTCAGGTATCACCGCATGAGGAGGTCAACTTTGAGGTAACCACCCGACCGACCAATATGACTGGCTGTGTGGGCACCGTGGCGGCGAATGTGGAGACAGATGTGCAAATTGAGTGGGAATACCGCCCTTCTGGATTTGGTGTGAACCTTCCTTGGTTGAAGTTGAGTGGCCTGAGAAATCTCACCGACAACTCCAAGGCACCGAACATGATCAGTTTTGCCTCGAACAGCTTTGCACCCAACACACATCATCAGTTCCGAGCACTTGCATCTTACAAGATCGATGTCCCACCGGTGCAACGCCCCAACGTCACCTTTAACCTGACCATCCGCCCTTCCGAGTCGCCAGCAGCAATCATTGCAGGGCCCTCTGAGGTCGGCGTCAACTGCTCTTTCACCTTGAACGCGTCGCAGTCAATGGATGTCTCTATGAACAATCCCCTGTCTGACCTGATCTTTCTGTGGACCTGCGATGCGAGCATGGCTTGCGACCTGTTCAACTTTGCGGCGGAGAATCAGCATAGCACTGATGGCACTGGGGCCAGTGGTAAGGTGATGCATGTTATGGGCGGGCAGCTTGAAGAGGCCGGTGCACTGTCATATTATTATATAGCTTGTATCAAAACGGGGGGAATCATATCAGTGTTTCAGATACTTTGCTTGTGCTTGCAGGGCGACTATGTCTTCAGAGTCGCAGTGCGACGGCGGACAGAGCCAATTGCAAGTGCTGGCAATGCGTCTATCAATGTCCGAGTGACAGCAGGCGCGAGGGACACCCCCTGACGCACCCCCGAAAAAGCATGGCGGGGCCTGAAAACACGGTGCGAGGCCTTCAGCCAGCAATCACATTGCTGGTTCCGTGGGCAGCGGGGGGCAGAGCCCCTTGCCTGCATCAAATTGTCGGATACAGTGAAGAACTCAGGCTGGGCCACCGGATAAACTGCATGTTTGTGTCTGGGGATTCGTCTCATTGAGTCTTGGCCTGTTTTGCCCTGACTTGCTTTGCAGACGCCAGGTCCCATGCGGGCTCTTGCTTGAAACGTTTGTTGCTCTCACTTACTTGGAGTTAGTAGAGGACCTCAATGCAAGGGCAAGGAGCTTTGATCATCTGGAATCCATCGCGACTTCCAGGTGTCTCTGCAAGCGTCTGATCTTCTCGTCCACGCTGTCGTCGAGCATCACCACGTGTGTACTTGGTGAGGGCCTCAGAGTTCCATGGGCCAGCTGGAAGGCTCCTATGATTCGAAGGATTGGCATCCAATCAGAGCAGAGCTCTTGCTAGAAAGCTCATGTTGAAGTACACCCGGTACTGTAAGCTCAGTACCCCCCCCCTCTCCCCCCCAAAAAATGTAGAAAAGGCTGATTCTAGGGGGTTGGGGGTTGATGGTTGCCTGTTCTGGTTTTTATTTCGCTTTTCAACGCGTGCTCTATCTCATTCGTTTTAAAAAGGCTGATTCTGGCGACATGAAATAACGATATGAATGAGATAACGAATTGGTGGTTTTGTCCCCTGTTTCGTTCCTATTGTCAAGCTTTAGTTTGTGTTGAATGATTAGGACTTTCTGTTGTTTCATGGGTTGGGTTTTGGGCGGGTCTTCTGTTTCGCCATTTAATGTAATGTTTATAGGTTATAAGTATGGTATAAACATAATACATAAGTTTGTAAATGTCATGATTATAGTATGATATATTTTTGATTTCACGGGTTCATCAACAATTAGTTTACACCTTATGTTTTCTACTCCTTCAAAATTCATACGTTTTCTTTCATCATCCATACAACTGTATATTTCTTGATGTGCCGCTCTCATTACATCACCTATATTATCTATGGTTACATTATCTACAACAAAAGCACTATGGACATGTAAATTACGAATGTTAAATTCATCGTCTTCATTATAATTGAAATGCTGATATCTTACAAATAAATTTGCCTCAACAATTAACGTTACTTCATAACCTTCATCGCCTACAACACCATCTAACAAACAATCTAAGTTTTCATGTTCATTAAAAACTATATCTTCGATGCTTTTAATGCTTAAAGGTATGTTTCTTGAAATGTTATACTCAATTTCATGTCTCTTTATATTATCACCACCTACAACAGTCCAGCGCTTTGTCTTTCTTTTTGTTTCAGTTCTGTGTAATTTATATCGCTGTTGTATTATCTTTAATGTCTTAATATTATTATATGTTATTTTCAAATACTCAGGTTCCCCTAATTTATATGAAATACGGTTTAATACATCGACAGGTAAGTTAGTCCAGTTCTCAACCATAAAATTAATCTCAGTCATTTTACCCTCACTCATTTTTCTCGTACTATATAAGGTTTTTTCTCTTTAAGTAGTTTTGGGTGGGGGTTGCTGGTTGAGCAGTCTGGGTTTCAGGTTTAATTTAAATGTCTTAACCTTCTTGTTAGATTATAAAACTATGTTTTATCATATTATAATTAAACAATGTCATTAAACTAAATCACTCATGCTTTCCATCTACCTATTCCATCCCACCAGTGTTCAATAATTCGCATCTGTCCATCTACTAGACTGTCTTCTTTGTTTAGTTTCCGTATCGCGCCTGATAGTATATAGTGGTTAATAGTCATTGCTCCAAACTTTCCATCTCGGTTTAACTTTTTACCACACTCTTTTATAATGTCATCGTCTATTAGGGTTTTCATACATTTCATTAATGATGTCAATCCTAACAAATGAGTATATTGTCATCAAGTTTAATCCGCTATTATCCCTAAACCTGTTAATGACATCTACCCAGAACTCTTTGTTTGCATCAACTGATGGCAAAGGATGTCTTTTGATTAAATCCTTTATCTTGTTCAACGCATCCAGTTTGATAAGTCGGCAATCACTCCAACATTTTCTAAATTCAAGTCCTCTATTCTTATGTCAGCCATATTTTCACTTAATATATTATGCTAATTGTTCTTTAAGTAGTTTTTTGTTTTTAGGGGGTTGTGTTGATAAGTTATTTTCTATTGAATAATATAATGGCAAGAATATTAACAAAAGACAAAATTATTAGTAATGTCTATTACAATCTGGATAGTGGGTATGGTAGTATTCAAGCAACTCGCAAGAAGGCAAAGGAAGAAGACCCAACGATAACATTAGAAGATGTAAAAACCTTCTTGAAGAAGCAGCCAAACAAACAAATCAAGAATTATAGAGGTTAAAATTCCTAACCGCACCGTTCGCGCGATATGAATACCAAATAGATATAATGCACATGACACCCTTAGCAAAAGACAAGAACGTTCCACAGCATGCCTTAGTCGTCATTGATATGTTCAGTAAGTTAGCCGATGTAATACCGATGGAGGAAAGAGATGGCGACCACGTTTTGAAAGCGTTGAGAGCAAGTTTTAAAAAGATGGGTCATCCGATGCGCGTTTTCAACTAAAAATCAAGTTCAGGATTTCTTCAACAGTGAGGGAATAAACCACATTGTCACGAAGACCCATGCAAACGCAGCCGAGCGTTTGATTAGGACTATGAAAAACAAGATACATGATAGAGTTTGGTTTAACACATGAAATGGACGGACGCCTTAACACCCGCTTTGAAACAGTATAACAACGAGTTACACACATCAACAAAGATGACACCAACCGAAGCACACAAGGACGACAACGAGGTGAATGTAAAGTCAATCTCAAACTTAGAGAAAAGAACAACAGAAAGTATCTCAGAATAGAGGAGACCGATAAGGTAAAAAGTGTTTCAAAAGAAAAGGGGCACTTACACCGACAGAAAGGAGTATAACTCTAAATGGTCTAATAAAATTTTAACGCCTCCGGCTCAGGCCGCCGACATTACAGGCCTGCTTTCTTATTTGCGTCCCTTTAGAATTGCCCCCTTGCCCCCCTTCCCCTCTAAGATCTTTGCCCCCCTTTCCCTGTTGAGATCCCCCCTAAGGCCTTTTTCCCCCCTGAGATCTTCTCCCTAAGATGTTTTCCCCCCTTTCCCTGTTGAGATCCTTTCCCCCCTTTCCCCCCTAAGGCCTTTTCCCCCCAAGATCTTCTCCCTTCTCCTCCCTAAGATCTTTCCCCCCCTTTCCCTGTTGAGATGCTTTTAGGGCCTTTTCAGATCTTCTCCCTTTTCCTCCCTAAAATATGTTCCCCCCTTTCCCGTTTGAGATCCTTTCCCCCCATTCCCCCCTAGGGCCTTTTCCCCCCGAGAAAGATTTCCCTTTTCCTCCCAAAGATCTTTTCCCCCCTTTCCCCCCTAAGGCTTTTTTTCCCCAGATCTTCTCCCTTTCCTCCCTAGATCTTTCCCCCAGGTGAATACGAAGGAGAAGAAGGCTTTTGGGTTGAGGATGAAGAAGGACTTGAAGGATTCATGTCAAACAACGATGAAGAGACATTCTGGGTCCTCGAGGAAAACGATGCGTTCATAGCAAGAAAAGTGTCAGGGCGGAATTTCAGATTCAAGAAGAGAAAAGGAAAAGGAAAATCAGGAAACAAAAAGGGCAGTCACTAACGAGGTGGCTTTAAACCCTTCAGAAAAAGCGGTTCTGGCGGGAAGGCCAATATGGCCAATGAAAAAAATTATGATCCCTACGACAAGGCATATTGGGGAAAAGGCAAAGGAAAGAAGGGAAAGAAAGGAAAATCGAAATTCCACTATCCCTATGATGGAAACAAGGGATATCCATCCTATGAGAATGGCAAAGGACAGGGCGGACATGACAAAGGAAAATCCAAGACGTTCGCAGCCATTGCAGAGAAGACGGAGGAGCAGCCCGCCATCCAGCAGACTGCACCATCCACAGAGCCTACCTATGCCGGTTGGACAGACCAAGATTGGGATCAATCATGGACATGGAACGAACAAGGCTGGTACTCATCCCATGAGACATCCAGCGCAGGACAAGCGCTAGTGGCATTCCATGACGCATATGAGCATCGTGAGAAAGAGGCCATCCACGCGATGCAGTTTCAGAACACAATTTGTCCGTCACAACAAATCACACCCTTTTGGCAACAAAGCTGATGGCGCCTGTCATCAACCCTCAGCACAATCCGACCTATGCGATCCTGGACAACGGATGTACCAGGTCCATGGGCAGCTGGCATGCAATCCAGCGTTTTACTCAGGCCATCGAACTCGTGAAGGACATCGTCTCCTATGAGTACATCCCGGCCGAGACCAAGTTCACTTTTGCAAACGGAGAGGCCGCCAGGGTAAATTGGACCCTGCATCTTCGATATCACGCAACTCCTCCACGCAGTACAAACATCGACGTCCTTGAACAAGGAACTGTACCGATCCTCCTCAGCATCAGTCAGACGCGGAACCTCTACATGACCATCGAGCATACACCTCAATGTGACAAGATCGCATGCAAGGCTTTTGGCATGAACCGTCAAGCAGTTCCAGTATCCGGCACAGGACATGCGCTCGTCGACCTCGCTGGAGTTAAAAGGCACATGGAGAAATTGCTCACAAGGGCCTCACCAACTACGTCTACGATGATGACGACAGCGTCAAGCTTCCCTCCAGGGATATCTCCAAGAGTGAAACTGTTTGTGCAGCAAAATCATCCGAGACGAAGGAGGACCTAGCAACTCCTAAAATCATTGGGTCTCAAAAGCAGGACCATTGGATCCTTGATACGAAGAACAAGCAGCTCATCCGTGTGCGCATCACGCAAGGCGCTGTTCACACCAAATGGAGCCAATCCTGATAGCATCAGCCGAGAGCGTACCTCCCAAATGCTGCCCCTCCGACGCAAACGCAAGCCCAGGTGCACGAAGTACCGAAATGCTGCCCCTGCCACACAGACGCAGCACTTGCATCTCCATGAGTGAGTGTGTGTGAGTGAGTGTGTGTGTGTGAGTGAGTGTGTGTCAGTGAGTGTGTGTGAGTGAGTGTGTGTGAGTGAGTGTGTGTGAGTGCGTGTGTGTGAGTGTGTGAGTGAGTGAGTGTGTGTGTGAGCGGGTGTGTGTGAGTGAGTGTGTGTGCGTGAGTGTGTGTGAGTGAGTGTGTGTGAGTGAGTGTGTGTGTGTGTGTGAGTGAGTGTGTGTGAGTGAGTGAGTGTGTGTGTGAGCGGGTGTGTGTGAGTGAGTGTGTGTGCGTGAGTGTGTGTGAGTGAGTGTTTGTGAGTGAGTGTGTGTGAGCGGGTGCGATTTTGTGCGCGTGAGTGAGTGAGTGAGCGCGAGTGTGAGTGA